GGTATGTTTGGATCAAGTACCTGTAGAGACAGTTTTTTATAGAACATCTATAACTGCAAGCCAATTTTTTAGTTAAACAAATACCACGTATGACATACAAACAAAAAAAAAAAGTGCTTTTACAGAAAATGATTTTGGTGACAAACCAAATAGGACCTTAATATTTCCCTATTAATTCAATTATTGGTTCCAAAACTTGTATTTCCCAAATTAGAAATCTTCTCCAACCAATCCAACCTGGAATAAATACAGAATTTTCCCATATAATGACAATTAGTGTGATCCATTCTTGCACAACTCTTGTTGATTTATCAACTTTTAAGAATTGCTTTTGAGTCGCTTTCAAGAATTGTTTTCTGTTCCCCCACAAGCAAACAAGAAGGGAACATGGCTTGTCTCAGCCGATGTTATAGCTCATAACTACAAATGTTCTAGATTCATGAACCCGTGGTTAAAATTTTTCTCTTGCATCCAAACTCAGCCACTTCTTTCTGTGTTCAGTCAATTGGATACATTTATATCAATTTTCAACCGCTTACATCCAAAATTGTACACCATACCTGGCTCTCATTTTGCCATCAAGCCATGGATTTTGTACACAAGGACATATTTGGCTAGATTTCAATTTTTACCTAGGTTTTTTTAGGTACGGATTTTCCAGTTACAACTGTAATTTGCACTTGAAAGAGAGATGAATAAAATGAACCAAATGTTGGGATGGTCGTCTTGATGTGAGGCCATGTTAAGTATCAGCATTTTTGTAGCCCAAAAAAGTAATCATCTTAACACAAACCAATTTATGGTTTAATTGGGTAAATTACATTTTTATGATTTTTCAAAGTATCAGTTATCTTTTATTCAGCCAGGCGCCTGTGTTTAAAGCATTTTAGGAAATTCTTTGTTTTAATAATTAACATATAAATGGCCTCGTTGGAAAACTTTGGAAAAAACTAAAAAAATATATATATATGAGATTCTAAAGTATCAATACACCCTTTCCAACTTATTGGGGTATATCAATATTTTGAACCTTATGTAAATTAGGGTTTTTCTATTTTTGAAACTTTTTTAAAACACCATTATCCATTATTGGTCCCTGCTATTTATGGCCTTGCAAGTGGTGGATTAGAACCCGATCTAACCCTTTGACATTTTAACTAGTCTTCTTACACTTGTTACCCCGAAATTTTGCCATTGCATCAAGTAATTCTCTCTAATAATGGCAATTATACCTAGTAGTTGAGATGGTCATTCGGCATCCCTTCAAAGGCTTAGTTTGAAAGGAGTATAAATACAAATATGTAGAGTGCAAAACCTTATATTTTGTATTATTTTATATGTATTTGTGTTGTACATATTTACATTTGCACTCCTTCCAAACTGAGCCAAATGTATAGAGGCTTGGGATCAAACCAGGGTAACTACATATTCTCTGTGCTAAGGTCATAAGACCTCAAATGTACCCTGCTCTATTCCCACTTCCCAGCCCTTAATCCCTATAATGTGTGAGATATATGATACCAAAATAGAAATTGTAATGATCTCTAATGAAAAGAAAAAAAAAAGAAATATATGTTGTATATTTGCCTCTTTTACATGTTGAAATTGTGGGGTGGGAAACAGTTCTTGTCATAAAGGAGGAGAAAGGAGGAGGGAGCAAAATAACTGAAATTTAACAGATGGAAATTTTTCCTGCCCCCTTTCACAATGACAGAAAAGGGCCAAAAGAACATATTCTAGCAATATTCCTTGATCTAGGTCTCATGGGCTGTGAGGAAGATGAATCATAAACGAGGTTCATCACAGTCCCCAAACAGGCCCTAAGGTAGGGTTCATGCGTGGAAGAATCAGTTCTTGAGAGTGAACCAAAAGGAGTTGAGCTGTCGCCAATGGCTCCACGAACCCAACAAAATAATGGGGATCGGGTCAAGCTTTAGGGCCTTAAAATGGGTTTGAGAGAGAGATTTTGCTCAAGTCTCTGAGCTAATCATTCAGAACAAGACCTTCACCTCCTCTATCTTAAGACCCACTTCCTCCACTCAATCAAAGCGTGATGTAGTGTGAAGCTTACTACCATACTATGATACCTAGTTAGCACCACATGAACCCAAGTGGCATCTACAGTTGATCAAGGGCACCACCCAATATCTATCTCCCCAGATGGACCCACAGAATAGTGGGTCTCAGCCTTTTGCAATTTGCATGCCTGATACGTGTCCACTGCTCACATGTTGATCCGGATGATTTCTTTTGGATGGAGCCTGTGAAGGAGGGTGGGGCGTTGGGAAGGAGAGGGAGATAGTTCAAAGGGAGTAAAGTGAGTCCAAGCATCAGCACAGCAGCAACAACAGAGCACTAAAAGGAGAAAGAAAAGGAAAGCGCGGGAGATTGTCGGTTGTTTTGAAACACAGGGAAGGAGTCACTGCCAATTGCCAAAGGACGATATCACCCCCCTCCATACCATACCTTATTTACCTACCCATTAGCCACCATTCTTTGGGTCCCACTGAACTAGTTGTTCTGTTATCAGAATAATTTATTGCCTTGATTGGATAATCACCACCGTCAAATTCGATAACATTCTCTTAAATTCAACCAGGCTTAAATACCCAAATGCCTAATCACATCAGATTTTGTTGTCCGGAAAAGGGGCTGCCACATCACCAGTCCACGTGGCAAAAATGTGCAGGAATTTAAAATTCCAGTCTCAGTGTCTACCTTGTACCTTCAAGCCTAAGTGCACTTTATGTTGCATGCCCACCTTTTAAATGACTCTTAAATAATAAACTGCTGCCATAATGACATTATTTACTGAATGAATCAACATTGGTAGAAATGAAAATCTAAATCCGCCCACAAATGGGATTTCATAATTACTACCAATCTAGGCTGAAGCTGTTACCTAAAAATCAGGAAATCCGAAATGACCACCCTCCCCCCCAATCAGGAAATCCCAAATGACCATCCCCCTTGGAGGATTTTGCTGCAAGCAACTAGAGATATACTGCCGAATATTCCCATTCCAGAGATGGCCCCAGGGATTTAAGATTCCACAGAAATGAAGAATTAATGGTTAATACACAGCCCAATCAAATCGTTGGAGTCATCAGTCTCTAGATCTTGACATCTAGTCAACAATTTTTTAGCCCTTAAAGCCCCAAAACCAGCCAGACAGCACATGCACAAAGCTGTAGTGTCATAAACAGAAGACCCTTTTTAGAGTTTATTATAAAGAAGGGCTTTAGATCCTTAAAATGAATGCTGCAATTTAAATGACCCACCTAAGCCAGTTGTCATTGTTAGCCAACCAGCCATTCTTTGGGTCTCCATGGCCTACTTGGAGTTAGGTCCCTTCCACTGTTACCACTATTCATATCTTGCTTTGTTTGTTCCTCACTTGTTTAGGTCAACTAGGCCCTCTCACATACCCTAATAAAAAGCTTTCTCCAACTCCTAAGAGAACAAAGCAAAGCAAAAGCAACAGTAGTCTTCCCCTTCTTCTATGCTTGGTCCCCCAAAAGATTCAAGCCCATCTCTCAGCTCTCTGATGCAAAGATACCCTACTAATTGGTGCCATGGCCACCCTACTCTACCTTAGAATCAGAACCCCTAACCCCCCCTCCCCCCCACTTTTTATTCATATCTCTCACACATACACATCACTATCTACAATGAAAACAGTACAGAAGGAAAGGAAACGAACAGAGATCAGTCGGGTTAATCAGAACTAATTCAGAAACAATGCCATTAATTGCATTACTTTCTTCGTCCCAAGACTCCCAACAAAGCCCCCAAAACCCGTTTGCGTTCCTGACCCATTCTTAAGATCCGATCTTTTGGTGCAGAGTGAGAGTAGATAGAGAGAGAGTGTGTGTGTCTGTCCCCTTCCCCAGCAAATTTTGATGCTTTTGAGGCATGCATCCCAACTTGCCGACACCCCACTAGCCTACCTACCATACGGCTGAGCAGTATTACAGTTGCTGCCTTTGTCTCCACGTGGCAAGTTTGTACCGCAATCTGAACCGTTTAAGATGTTAGTTAAATTGCTGTTGCGGGAGGTCCCACTTCGAGGGCGTGAAGTGATTGGACAATC